GAAGGCACCAAGAAAAACGAGCATGAAAGTTTAAACTTAAAATTAAAAGGTAGAAAAGAGCAATACAAGTTCTGCGCATTGAAATGCCCTGCTTTCACGCCGGTAGCTTTTATCACAGCAAAGAGGATTATCAGCTTTATTGCTCCTGCTAACACCACTGAATTTTCCTTCCTCGCAGGTAGGGATCCCAGAGCGGCCGTGGCGACACCCGCAACGCGCAGCTCTCCTCCGACAGGTACTGCAGATCCTTATGGTGAAAACAGAACCTTTCCAGGCTTCAGCTCTGCCAAAACGTCCCTTCGTGGTTATTCAAACACCACATTTGGCTTCTGGACCACGAAAGAAACATTAGCAAACATTTCTGCCTCTCCTTTTTCTTGTTATTGAACATTTCACTCTCCACAGCTGGATCCTAGCAGAATTTCGGTATTTTTTGCAGCCAGAGCATCCAACTGAGATCCTGCGATGTTGGCCGCTCCACTGATACAGCAGAGGGCAATCCCTGGTCGCAAAGAGCGTAAAAACTGTAAAAACAGAAAGCCCGAGTGAACTGAGCGAAAGGGCAGGATGGAGACCACAGCCTCCATCCTTGCGGAACAGGAGAGCCGACAATTCCCAGCCCGGCTGCACACACATTTGTCCCAGCTAATTCCAGCAGTTTTCCCCACCGGTTACAGCAGACCAGGGGAGGATGAAGTGACAGGAATGAATTCCAGATCGCAAATCCATCCGGGCAAGATTTCTGGCTTTGCACAGAACTACCACCTTGCACCTTCCATGAAGACGAGTAACACACAGAAACGGCTTTTCCTTTTTTAATGTGTGTACCAAAATAACCTGCTTTTGGGGTCAAACCGCTCTCAGAAGGGAGTTACAGGCAGAAAGCTTCTGGATTGAAGCGATGTAGCTCAGCTGCACAAGTGTATCGGTTCCCCTTTCAAAAGTGGCCTTTTCTGTCTCCAGTTTGGAAGATGACTCCCAAAACCACGAGGCGGAGCAGCCTGGAGCGCAAGGTGCCAAATCCGGGCTCCGCTAGCAGACACACGGACACACACACACACACACACACACACACACACACACACACACACACACACACGCCAGGCTTTCCGACTGACGCACACGCTGCTGACCCCTACAGACACAGCCCCACCACGGCTCCCGCGCACACCTTGCACACAGGGAACAGCCGTGCAACAGCCGCAGCCTCCCTGTGGATCTGCTGTCACACCCCGCCGGACACGCCACCACAGCGGCGGTGCACAGCCTCACAGCCRCAGACGTGGTGACACGGACAGCCAGACAGCTGGATACAGCCTGGCGACACACGTGCACGACACCTGGCACACGTGAACAACATGTGACAACACCCCGCACAGTCCATGCGCAACAGCTGGCGCTCCATGCACGCCACGCGCAACACCCAACACGTCACCCATCCCATGCGCGTCACCCATCCCATGCGCAACACCCGGCACAGCACACCCATCCCACACACAACACCCACTCATCCCGTGCACAACACCCACCCCATGCACAACAGCCAGTACCCCACAGGCACCCCCCACGCAACACCCGGCACGCACCCCCCCAACACCCACACACAACACCCTGCACACACCTACACACACACCCCCAACAGCCGCTCACAGCCCCCCCGCCGCCCGGCTGACAGGGACGGGCCGGGGGGCGCAGGGACAAGGGGGGCGCCCCGCGCGGGTGGGTGGAGGTGACACCGCGCCACGCGCACGCGCAGCGCGGGCGGGC